TTGAAAATGGAAGTCATTATCATCATCTTCCAACCCTTATGCCAAATTTGGGGTAGGTGCAATGAGTTTTTCTTTTTTTAAAGACAACAATGGGATTATAATCTTGTTTCGCGGGGAACCTAACAAACATACATTAAATGGACACAAAGAACACCCAGACTCATGACAAGAATTTGTAGATCACACAAAGTGATGTCCCATGTGGGGAACGCACCAACAACACTTACCGCAGTAGAAGCAGCGAGGTGACCGCTTAAACCACTACGCCACCCGTGCAGTCGATTTTTCCATTTCGATTCTCCCTGATCACACGACACACACAGTCTTTCATTTGATTGCGAAATAAGCTCGGTTCCAAAAATAAAGGGTCAGTCACATAAACCCGAATATCTCCCGAACTACGTATGCCATCCTAATGTAACGAAGACTCTTCAATTGAGAATTTAATTATACAGATAAAAAATAAAATAAAACTTAAATCTAAACTCTCTAAATCTTAACTTATCTCTAAATTAAAAATAAAACTAAAGTAGTCATATTTTTCTTAAGATTTCATTTTTTTATGATTGTTTTTTTGCTGTTTTTCATCACTTTCTTCATTTAATACTTTGTATTGCCTCCACGAGCTCTTCTGACAGCTTCTAGGCGATTAGGCATGCTGTACACCAAATTTCGGAGCCGGTGCTGAGGAATACCTTCCCATTCTTCCACCAGTGCTTGTTTGAGCTCGGGAAGCGTGATTGGTGGGGGGTTTCGACCTTTCACGCATCTCTGAAGCTCGTCCCAGGCGTGCTCGATGGGGTTTAAGTCCGGGCTTCGCGCTGGCCACTGCATGAGTTCGATACCGACCTCTTCAAGGTAGTCATGTACAATTCTGGCGGTATGGGGACGCGCATTATCATGCATTAATATGCCATGCCGGTCCATCCTGGCCATGAAAGGACCTACATGTTCATTGAGGATCTCTTCCACGTACCGCTCTGCATTTAGAGTTCCATTTTGAATGAGTACCAGCTCGGTGCGGGCTTCAGTAGAAATCCCAGCCCAAACTAGTACGGAGCCTCGACCGTACGCCACTTTTTCCTCCACACACGCTTGATGGAAGCGCTCCCCTGGTCTTCTGTACACCAACTGCCTACCATCATGCTTATAAAGCATAAATTTAGACTCGTCCGTGAACATTACCCTAGACCAATCGTCTAGTGTCCAGTTTAGGTGCTCGCGCACGTATCTCTGTCTTGCAATTCGATGTCCCCGTTCCAGTTTGGGGCCATTTGCGGGCCTCAATGGTTTCAAATTTGCTTCAGCAAGACGTCTTCTTACTGTTTGAGCGCTTAAATTGCCACCTCCAAAGCGAATAAAGTGATTTTTTAGACCAACAGCAGTTTGAAAACGATTTCGGAGCATTGTAGCCACCAGTTGTCTGTCTTCCCTGGCCTTGTGTTGTGCATCTTGGTCTGCCATTTCCTGGTCTTCCTTTGTTTATCATATTTTCTGGTGATCCGGTCTCTTGGTACCGCTGGACTACCCGCTGAACAGTCGACAAAGATACACCAATGTTTCTGGCTGTTTCACGCTGGCTTCGCCCAAGTTCCAAAAAAGTTAGGATTCTGGTACATTCCTCTAGCGTGACTGCCATGCTTCACCTCACAGAATAATAATTATGCACGTGGAAGACGTTCACGATATTTTTTTTTGTGACAGAATAGAAATGGAAAGCATCTATAATGAAATGAAACAAAAATTTTGTTTTTAAAAATAGTCATTTTTTTAAATTTTGTTTTTCTAATGAAGTTTTTTTCATCAACCAGTTTAAATAATATGCTATTAGAAGCGCAACTAAAAAGTCTTTATTCTGTTTTTATTACATTGAACTAACTTTTACAGTTCTGGAGGTATTTCAATTTTTGTGACTGACCCGTAATTTTTGGAACCGAGTGTAGTTTTACCGTATTCTTTAATGATAGTTCGCCTCGTGATGGATGTAATCGTTCTTCGTACATGGGAATTCCAGACACCCAAGGTTTTTCCTATTTTCTAACTAAATGGCTTTATATCACTTGTTCTACAGGGCATCTATTTTCACATTAATATTGCCTTTCCCTTTCGAATAGGTTAAACTAACCACACATTCGAAAAATTTACAATTCATCCTTTTAACAAAGCCACATTTAAAAAAACAGTGTTAGACTTATTTTATTTCATAAAATTATTATGATTAATAAATCATTTGTATAGGTATAGGTAGGCCAAAACCTCCTTTCTAAGGAGAGGCCTATGTCCAGCAGTGGACTAGTATAGGCTGTTGATGTGATAGGTATAGAACGGTACTTATGCAAAATCATTTTATTAAGTATTAAATGACTTTTACTTGAACGCAATTATTGCAATTCGAATCCCAAAGCGTTCACCAAAAGCGCTAATTACTGTATTCACCGAGAAATAGCCTCTTTCCGTCGCGTAATTTCTTGCCGAAATTAGGAGTCTCGTGTTCAAATGACATTTCAAATAAGCCTGGGATAGGTACTGGTAATTTGATGGTCCAATACGTTTAGAAGATGCGACAAAGTGCGTGAGCATCGAAGTAGCAGCCCAATGAGTTTGAGGCATTTTCCTCTTTACATCTTCCTTACTTGTTTATTAAATAAGCCAGTTAGTTTGCGAAAGAGTACAGTATTCTCAACCCATAAACTGGTAATCATGATTACCAAATTGCATTGGTTTAAATGTTTGTAAGTAGTTCGATAGTGATCATTAATAAAATATTATTACGATTTCTTAAATCGTTTCAATCAGAAATACAGTATTTTTTCTACGGTTTTGGGTACTTCCTGGGTAATTCTTAGAGTATCGGGTATGATATATATTTATAGTTATATCTTTGAATTTAAATTACTGTTTTAATTATTATTATTTTCTTTCTTAATGTGTTGTGGTACTACTTATGTAACGATTAGAACAAAATGTAAGTGTAAACCCATAAACATATAATAAACAGACAAAATTGCTTCACGTGGAGTTTCTTTCAATAGTAGTCGTTGTCACGTTGCTGAATGCTATACCATAGAATTTTTATATCCAAGACATAACCACCGCTTTATGGCTAACCTACTCAAGATCTACGACCTCTTACAAAATATGACCTATATGGTAATAAGTACACTTAAAATGTTGGCCATTATTATTCGTTTAAATCTGTCGTAATATACTGTCCTTGTAAAATCATATTTTCTGTTATTCATACTCGTAACCTTAGAAACATTAAGCATCGGGGTATAGTTTTTTATTTTAAATTTTCATTTTTCAAATTCTTTGTTTCAAGATAACGGTTACTGTTCATGTGACATTTATGTTGTTCTAAATACTAAGTTTCTTCTTTTCTTTTGTTGATTTAATTCTACATTATTAATTTTGGTACGTTAAAAGTTGTGCCTTGTCAGCTTTAGGCAATACCTGGCACTGCTCTAAAATATGATAATATTTCAGTTTCTATTTTAATTTTTTAATGAATCATTCTTATTGACAATCCCTAACAATCCGATAGTCTGGCAACCCCAACACTTAAATTGCACATTGACCTAAATGCTTCTCCAGTATGTACGTAATGACACACACTAATAAAACATTGCCATTGTTTCACTTTAGGATAAAACAATGAAATAAACCTACATACCCATAATTTACAATAGTAATGTTACCAGTTATGGAGTCACTTTACAACCACGTTATAATCACCCTGGCTTTAATCATAGCTCGACTACATTAAAATGAAATTAAAAGTGTTTATACTTTTTTTTACGTCTGGTTTGTACTTGGTACACTAAGTGATTCTTGTAAAAACGTACCTTATACTGCAGTTAGAGACCGTGATGAGTTTCAAAGTTTTGAATCTGGTTATCCCGTAATTGACACTAATGTTAAAGAAAAAAATGTTATAGAAAAAAATGTTATAGAAAAAAATAACAATTCCCATTTTTTCTAATTCCGAGCCACGGCTTGGTTGGTTAATTTTTTTCTTTAAGTAGCGTACATTTAACCTGAGTTTGTACTGCAAGATTCTGCAGTAGTCAAACAAGTCACTGCCATCATCAACGATGTGTTGTAGGCATAGTATTGTGGACAATTCTTCGTCGGAGATGGAATATGATTTGCAGATATGTGTCGAATGTGCGACCGTGGCTGCTCAACCATATTGTATATAGATTTTCTCTGTGGGTCATCATAGAGTATATTATGAATATGCAATAAAGACCTACAAAGACAACTCTAACCCCGCCTGCTTGCTGATTTAGTAGAATGGAGTCAAAGGCTAATTATATTCACCATCTCCTCTCAATACGCAAATACAAATGATAACAATTAAAACCGACTGTAACCGAATCGGTGCAGAATCATAATTATACATGGTCATTGTAATTCAGTATAAGGACAAAACAAGTACCAACAAGCAAATTTTCCAGGAAAAGAACGAATTATTATTATTAAGAAGTAAAACTTCTTTGAATCGATGTGATTTAAAGGAAGTTACTGATGACTAACGACGCCCGGTTTTGCACGGATGCAAGAACTTACATCATTTGAAGGTATCTTAAGAGATACCTAAAATAAGTTTGAACGGATTTTGCAATAGGACCGGATTTAAGCGACCTAAGGTTACCGAATCCCCAATTCACCCCAAGTAGACATAGAGTAGCCACGTACTCGTGTCTCTTGAGTCCATCATCATGATCATCATTAGCATCTTGCAGTCAACTGCTGGACATAGGCCTCTCCTATTGCACGACAATTCGATAGATTTTCGGCTTCTCGCATCCAGCTCCTGCCAGCCATTTTACGCAAATCATCACTCCACCTCGCCTGCGTTTACAAAAACGCGGTCTCCGCTCAAGAACTCGTTTACCCCAACGGTTGTCGGTTCTGTGGCTTATATGGCCAACTCACTGCCATGCTATTAACTATAAAAATATCATTTTTTTAAGTTTTATTTTTGTCAATTTCAGGAATCCACCGATCAGTTGACACGTGAGAGAGGAATATGTTTGGCAAGTATGTTTTTTTTTTGTTTATTGCCTTTATTTGTTGTTACTTAAGACATGCACATGTGTTGTCTTTCATTTGTAGAGGTTACTTTAAGTCTGCTTTTAGTATTCATAAAATCAACAGGTTATCCTAAAAGTTAATTTTTTGTTTAACTGGCATAGGTATAATACTAACATCGGTTTTGTCTCGTAAAGAATTTATAATATCTTGTTTCTAAGTTAATAAGAAGATATTTAGGCGTTTTAAATTGTCTCACAAAACAAAATGATAATATATTTCTAAATAATGTAATAATAAATAATAATAATATATCTCACTTCTGATCCCAAACTTGGCAGAGCCTGTGCTATGGTAACCAGACTGCTGATACACACTTATATATTTTTTTAAATACATTCATATTATAGATAAATTACACCTAGACACAGAACAAATGACAGAACTGACAGAAATTAAAAGAGTTTTCTATTTTCCCACCTCTTGTGAACGGAACCATAAAAAGCCATACCTATAATTAGATCCGAACTAGATCTTCCTAATATGAACATTATAAACATCCATATTTTTGTAGAACCAGATTTCAAGCAATATTACCGTCATTGTCCTCAGCTGATTGCAACGTGAGAAAATACTTTCTGGAACTAAGGGAGTGCACCAGGAGAGTGACGAAAAAGCCATTCACTGCGGAGACCTGTCACCAAGAAACGGTAGATTTGATAGAAGCCCTGGACAAATGTATTTCGAATAAGGCTTTTATGAAAATACGTTAGATTCTTAAAGTAGGCGTAAGTGGTTTATGGAAATTTTTCGTTCAGCGGTCTGGATATGACATCAAGTTATTGTTGAGTACGAATGCAATAGAACCGTGTATATGTCTTGCTCCCTTTAATCATACTTTGATCTGAAATCTTTGAACGACTTTACTGTTTGTCGAAATTTCTACAAGGTACTAATGATATTAAACAATGTATAGCATGACTAGAATGTAGCTGTAATAGATGCTTCCGAATGCTATCAGATGTCACATGAATTGCGTCCATGGCACTGACTAGGATGGTACTTTTTGATGGTACATGAAAACTGGAGCATGCGGCAATCAAATGTAGTCGAAGATGCTTCGAAATCTTATGTCCAGTTATACTTAATTCTTGGAGAACGATCTTATATGCAAAAAAAGTACATCCGATGCTTTCGAGTCGGCCCCTGTGGGTGGCCGAAGCATGTCTCTCCCACTGTTGTGTTCAGGTTTGCGAACAATAACGATGTGACCGCGATCGAAAATTTATCCACAAAGCTATCGTGGTTTGTGGAGACCAGGGATTAGTCTTATAGCAATCGGGTCGAAGTCTCTCATAAATACAAATGGCTATAACCCTTTCTTTCTGTTTCAGAAAGTAATATAAAGTCTAAGATCATTGATATGTCTACACAGGCTGTCGAAGCTGTGAATGTAAAAAATTAGTAGGTAACTGCTGGCCTCTATGAACACACACTAGTAAAGAACAATTACGTTTTATGCACATCTCGCCTGTGTACAAGGCACGTTGACACGCACACAAGCGCATTATAAAGTTGACCCGTTAGTGTAGTGGTTTTGTAGTGCGGCACTCTATTTAGACATATTAATGACTTAAATATAAACTATATGTTATCAATTGATAAATTAAGAACATTTTTACGTAATATTGTTACCGAAACCGAACAAAAACCGAACTGTCCTTGATAACGAGTTGAAACCTGAACTTATGATAGACTAAGAATGGCCGATGGCACTTAAGATGACGTGTTTGACCAAACATTTAGCGACACCTACAACCCAGAAATATCAGCTTTCTTTTAAAGACGTTTAGGCTTGTTTTCCTTTGACTAAATTGATTAAATACTTCAAATTAAGTGCCAGCGGTACATAAAATGTTTATAATGGTGACTAGATTGGTTAACTTTTTCTATGGAAACGTGGTTGTGTCTTAATAATATTCTTTATGATTGCTACTATGTAATTTACTTACACAAATATACTGACTAAATAATTTGTTTTATTTATTCAAAACTCTCGTCTCTTAATCCTCAATAAATGGCCTGTCACATGCAATTCTTTTTAAAACAGAAAAAGTTCCAAAGATAAACCGCATTCGGCACCAAAACTTTTCAGCTATGTGCCCAACTACTTAAATACAACATGAAGTAATAATTAACCATTTAGAAGCCGTAGATGGCCCAGGTTCCGTCGGGGTACCAGGGCGTGCGGCTTTTAGTCGGTTCGAGTGCGACATAACCACCGGTGGTGGTATCCAAAGGGATTGCCGCCGGTAAAAGCAGGTACATATAAATACAGCAATTTACCTTAAATTTTGAAGCAGTAATTTATCTATTATTAATTAAAAATTATTTACCAACAAAAATTACACATTAGCTTATTTTATTTGGAATAAATTTTAATTTTAATCTATACAGGTGAAGAAAGCTACGAAGTTCAAAGTTAGGTAAGAATGGCTACATAAAACTACAGCGGTATAGTAAATATGTAGACCTGTCCGTTTCGGGGTCGTGGTCCAGCTGTAATCTCCAACCAGTTGAACTACTACTAATTAAAATCGTTGTCATGGTGCTAGTTATTTTTTTGGTTTTGAAAAGACGACTCCTCATTAGATCGGGATCGAACCCACAACACAAGCGAAGCGGCGCGCTTGGCGACCGATTAAACCACTACAGCATTCGTGCCGTCGTCAATTAAAAATACAAGACATTGAAAACTGGCGGAATTGGACCGCCACGTAATCTCCAGTAACAAGGTATGAGAATGATATGTAGATATATACCTATGTACATTAACTATATTAAATTCAAGGAATTCATTTAAGAGAAAGGGTACCGTTTCTAAGAAATCATTCCAGTTTTTCGCGAGGGAAAAACATGTAATGTAATCTTACATTAACCTGACGTGAATTTATTGTATCTCATTTACCTATATGCGTCGAAATTGGCATTTTCATGAAATGAACATTCCTTATTTCGTTCTAAATATCCTAAATGTAACCGGAGTGGTTTAGAAATTGATTTCAATAAAGTAATGGTTTGAGGAAACCGATTCACTTATGTATCTACCTACCTACCTAGCTTTTCTAACTGTTGTTCTCTGTACCCAATCGTGATTAATTTTTCATCACAAAGATTTTTTTTTCTATAGACAATCTTTATTTATAATAAACAATAAACAGTACTATTTTATAAAAAACAACTTGATAATTGTTGTTTTAACATAACCATCATACAATAATTCATCATTTAATAATCATTTATAACCCACTAATTCATTTTTTACTTTAAAGTGAAAATATTAAGTTAAAAAGTTGAAAGGTCTTTAAACGAGATATTTACCAGAATTCATAATATTATTAGGGTTGGCAATCCAGTTATCTTTGTCCACAAATTGTAACTTAAAGTTATAAAAAAGGTCGCTCAGCCTTACAGTAGTCAGATACCGCATGACATCTGACCCTTACCTACCATGTGACGGTCAATTTTAAACCAGCGCGAGCGCATTTGTCAAATGAAATGGCGCACTCTTCCCCAGCCTCCTGTTACCATAAGTCTGTATGCTGTTACACACTTCAGTCCCTTTAAACATAATCACTCACACAGATGGCAGGAAAGAGAAGGAAGATATTACAAATAAAATGTTCAGGTTCAGAATGTCGAACGGTTACAAAATGATCAATGCCCGAAATGTCTAATTCCTAAAATTAAAAACTAGTTTTTGGACATTTTCAAACCGTTTGACTGATTGGGAATTGGATTCTGAGGGCCAAGTGCAGGTTTATTTCACATCTACTCGATCGTCCCGGTGACCGCGTTCGGCGCCCGCAATGAAATCTCCACCAATCCCAACGCTAAACGCGCTCACCATCGAGAGCGAGACGATGTGATATAAACTTGCACTCGGCCCTCTGAACCTGAAGGATAAAACTGTTGTAAAGTTGTCCGTGTGGTAACGGATTAAGAAGAGTGTCACCACCCCTATTCATCCCGCGGGTGTCGTAAGACCCGACTAAGAGAGCAAAGTACGCAGAACAAGAGCACTGCAAAGAGAACGAAAACTTGAAACAAACCCTATACCAACCCGTTTGGCCAGCGTGGTATAGTAGGCCAAAACCTTCTTTCTAAATAGAGGCTTATGTCCAGCAGTGGACTATTAAACATACATCATAAGCCCAGACTTGTTGGTATAGGGTTTGTGACAAGTTTGCCGTCTCTTTGCAGTGCAGTTGTCCTGTGTAGTTTACTCCCTTAGTCGCCTCTACGACACCCACGGGACAAATAGGGGTGGTGACAAGTATTCTTAATCCGTCACCACAGGGAATTCCTGGTACCTAAAAAGTATACAACATAGAAAAAAAGATGCGGATATAGTAACAAAGTCAATATTACATTTACTCAAATGCGACGAATTGAATTGCCAAGATAATTTCAATATGGCTTTGCGGAATAGTTATCACATCGATATTAAAAAGATAGGATATTCGAGTTATCTGAGCCAGCTCTATTTAATAAGTACCTTCGCAAATATATGAACACCCACACAGTCAGCATTTAATATTGAATTGATAGATAATATAATCACATTTATCAATTATTCATTTTGACAAACCAATTGATTGCTACTCTAACAAAAGGCTCTATAATAAATGCAATTGCTTTATTTAAAAAAGTTTTGCTTATGATCTTGATGTCTCGGTGATGTCTAAAGCCAGAGACTTAGACGTTTATGTTTATATATTTCTCAGGCCAAAATTTTAAACCAGATTTATTCTTAAATGAATGCACCTTTAGTTTAAACTAGCTGAGACCCGCGGTGTTATCCGCGTTTGTTGTTATAACCGCGGGTAACGCCGCGGGGCGAAGCTAGTATAAAAAAAGTAGCCTAAGTTACTCCTTATGTCATTAGCTATCTGCCAGTGAAAGTCCCGTCGAAATCGGTCCAGCCGTTCCAGAGATTACCCGGAACAAACAGACAGACAGACAAAAATTGTAAAAATGTGATTTTGGCATATGTACCGTGTAAACATACATATGCATTTAGTAAAAAGCGGTTATTTTAATATTACAAACAGACACTCCAATTTTATTTATTTGTATAGATAGAATATTAGTTTGCATGGTGCTTAAAAACTACACTTCAAAACTATTAAGTTTGTAATGTTTACGGAATTCCCAATTGTAAAAAGTTTTATTAGAGATGGCTTTTTTTAAAGGGAGAGTGGGAATTGAATTGCCTATGCACAATCCACGCTTTCTCATAATGCTAAGCACTGCATCAAACATTTTTAATCAAAACTTGACAACCCTATAGATTTGCGTAATTTATTTTTTTACACTAAGAAGCTTTTTTTTTTGCTCTTTTATGTAAAAAGTATTTACTCATCCAAACTTTGGCTTTCATAATCTGTGGCGCCTTTGTACTTTGTAACCAGTATTTTACTGGTAGGTATGTATTCGTGTTAATTAATTATTGACGTTCTTTGAACTTGTAAGGAACATACCTTTTAGGTTTGATATTTGAAAAGAAATAGCTAATATTAGTATCCAAATATGTTATTTTTTTACTTCATGTCCGTGTGGGGTCGGATTAGGAATATGGTGTATCACCCCTAGTCATTCCGTGGGTGTTGTGAGAACCGACTAAGGGAGCAAACTACGCAAGACAACAGCACTGTAAAAACAGGGAAATCTTGAAACAAACCCGTCCACTCTTTGTGAACCATGGATGCTA